TCCATTTGAGGCCAGTTAAAGCACATTTCAGTCAATAGAATCATCATTATTATTAATAGCAATACCTTTTAGTAGTATTTAGTAATAAACAATTAGGCCTTATTTCTCTATTCTGCTTTATAATTTATACAGAGATTTTTACATTTGTTATCCCTTTTTAAGACACCCAATCAACTTTTGCATTCACTCTTCTCCCCCAACCCACAGCCTCCATTTTCACCAGAAATATCTACTTTTAATTAGGCAAGAACCAGACAGGGTAGTCCGTTATAGGCGTAGGCATTGGTTGGAAGATTTCATTCGCTTGAAGCAAATCAAACATATCTGACGTGTGGTAGATTCTTTCACTATACCTATTCTAGTCCAAGCTCTCATCACTTTTTGACAATGGGTCACGCCTTCATTCTGGAAACACTTTCTCCCTTTGGCTTCTGTGATGACACTTTTCTGGTCTTCGTCCTACCTCATCAACCCTTCTTTGTGCCTCTTTTCTGGTTTCTCTCTACCCAACTTCGAAATGTTGGATTGCCTGAAAGGTCTGTCCTGGGTCCTCTTCTTTTTCTATATTATTTAGATGATCTCATCTAGTTCCTTAGCTGTAAACACAAGTCCTAAACTGATGGAGTGTCAAGTTTCTATCTTCAGCCCTGGCTTCTCTCCCGATTACCAGTATGTGCCACTCTTTACTTGAGCTCCAACTTGTCCCTAACTGAGCTTAGTCCCAAACATCCCTCAATCTCTTTCTGCCTCAGTTTTCCTCATTTCAGTAAATGGCACTGCCACCCACCAGAAGCTCAGGGCCCAAACTGGCATTGTCCTTACCGTCATCTTTAATTCCTTATATCCAATTCGTTGGCAAGTCCTATTAGCCCTGTTTCTGCCCTAGTCCTCACCTTTCTCACCCAGAGTACTGCAGTAGCTCCCTAACTGGTTCCCTGTTTCCACTCTGTCCCCCAACAATTCACTCTTCACACAGGAGCTAAAGTGATCTTTTTTTTTTTTTAAAGATTTTTTTTTATTGGGGAATTGGAGGAGGGAACAGTGTTGGGGAATCAGAAGGGGAACAGACAAGTTGCTGTCCTTTTTTTCTTCAGTCTCATGGAGGACGTCGCTTCACTGGCCCATGCTGGTATTGTGATCATTGCGCTCTTCCTGGGTGAGGCAGATCAGTCACCGGCCATTGGATGGCTGCTCACGGTGGCTCACAGCACCTGACACTGGCTGCCGGCCACTCACGGTAGCTTACGGCAGCCCATGCAGCCCCACTGCAGCCTACGCCATCGCTGGAGACTCACGACAGCCCAGCTCCAGATCGAGCTGTTGTTCACCATCTTACTGTAGAGGGTGCAGCGTCACTGGCCCACATTGGGATTCGAACCGGCAGCCCTGCTTCTCAGAGCCCATGCTCCCAAGCCAGCTCTTAACCAACGAGCCACTCGGCTGGCCCCCTGAAGTGATCTTTTAAAAACGTATATGAGATCACATCACTTCCTTCCTCTAAATCTCACTGTCCTTGAAACCTCAATTCCTTAGCAGAGCCCACCGGCCATGTTTGAACCCTGTCTCCTGCCACTGTTTCCCTCATTCACTGTGATTCAGCCACAGGGTCCTTTCTGTTTCTTCTAAAAGTCAAGGTTGCCCTCACCTTAGAGCCGTTGCCCTCACCTTAGATCCTTTGCCCTGACTGCTCCCTGTCCCCAAAATGCTCCCCCTTCAGATGCTCCTCATCTTTTAGTCTCTACCATTACCTGTTCAGACGACCTTACTCAAAGGCCCTGCCTTAGTCACCATCACATCACCCTGCTGACTCCCTCCTCTCCACTTACTACTGTCTGACACTGTCTGACATTAAAGAGACTCCCTATTGTCACTAGAATACGGACCCAGTGAGGGCAGGCACCTTGCTCTCCTGCTCACCACTTAACCCGGCACCTATAATAGCATCGACTACATGGGAAACATCAGATAATTGTTGAATAAATAAATGATGGCTCTCACCCCACACCTACATTGTCATAATTGACCCCTAACTCTTGCCTCCATTCTCCTTTACTCTGCATCTGTCCTACATGCTGCTGCCAGTGTTCTTACAAAACACTGATTTAATCACACCTCTCCCTTGCTCAAAACCATTCAGTGGACCACGGCGTTCCTACCTCAGTGACTTTGTGTCTGACCCGTTTTGGAATGCTGCTTTTTTCTGCATATCCAGAATGCTACCTGATGTAGGCTTCTTCTCTTCCATCTCAGCCCACAGTACTCTCCTTTCTCTCAAAACATTTAAAGTTGTCCATTAGGCGTCCCTGTTGTAACCTCGCCTATATTTATATTGACTTAGTTAAGAATTTAACTCTCTTCTGAATCCAGTGAAGTGCACATCTCTATTCCTGTTGCTTGAATCTAGCATGTGGAGTGGATTTCTCCGTGTGAGAATTTTATCTGGAGGGAAAGACATGGGCTAACTACCAGGCAGGATGAAGAAAAATGTAATGGCTTAATTTTACTGAGCATTTGAAGGGGGTGGGCTGTGGGAGCAGAATACGTGTACTTTGATGGATGTGTAAATACTGTAATACACCTTCAGCGAAACTGTAATCTTACTGGATAGGCAAGGCCTACGCTTCAAACCGTTAAAGACCTTTTTCACGGAGTGGTGTGTTGAATGTCAATTCACATACAACCATTGAATCCAACAGAGTAACTGAGGCAGCCAGATCCTTGGAAATCCCAGTCACGGTCATGACCTGAGGGGAAAGAGAAAGCGGCATTGTCTCCAGGCACTTCTCTGACCAGCCACTCTTTTCTGGGACTGATTCTCTCCTGGCTTCTCCGGCCCACTGTGTGGTGAGCCTGTCGGCACTGAAATCTGGAATAGAAGCCACGGGAGCGTGGTGTGAGGCTGCTCCTGGCTCCACAGGACGGGGCTTGATGTAGGTCACTCACGTTTGTGAGTTAGGAGGGGTCAAATGAGCAGTCTAGCTGCACCATCAGAGTGAAGCTGTGGTGATCCTTTCCCAGTGGTACACAAATACCAAATCATTATGTTGTACAACTGAAACTAATATATGTCAATTATGACTCAAAAAAAAAAAAGAATGAAGCTGAGCATAGGGCCACGTGGAAGTGGGCTCACAGGTAGGTAGTTAGCTTGGGGTCTTTGTTACAACACCTCACCTGAGTTGGCTGCACCTCCTGGGCAGTCCTTCTGGCCCGTACCCTGACTGCTGGGCTGAGGTTCTGGAAAAGGACCTGCAATCCCACTGATGCCATTGAGTGAAGACCCCACTCCAGGTCGGGCCTTCTACCCCCTACTCCCCATTTCTGTTCTAGAGCCTCATGCTAGCCCTGCTTAGCCCCTTGGAATTGACACCTCAAAGTACCTGCTCAATTTTCTGCTTTGGCTGCACCCCTTATGCTGCCTCTCCTGTCACTCTTGGCTCCACACTTGCACCCAAGATCCCAGGCTGGGCTCCCACTTATTAGGGAGAGAAGGATGTTTGGACAAAGCTGACCGACCACAAAGTGCGTAAGAACACTGGCAAGGATTCATTTGTCCCTGTTCCCCTGGATTAGGTAGAGCCCAGTAACCCGGATGAGTCCCTAAAAGCAACCTCACCTCATTACATAAACTGTCAGTATTCTAAAATAATGGGTTTTGTAACCAATAGAGGGTGTGTGTACGTGCACATGTGTTTCTAGTCATCTGGGTAAAAACAGGAATGTTACACTTAGACGGTGATGAATGTGAAATGGAGCACTTAACATCTCACATGGCACAAATGACTAAACGGAAGCCCAAGCCCTTCTTTAGGAAACGCAGGTTCAGTGAGAGCTAACGCAATAGTGTTTGGTTAATGTCAGCTCAGAGTTAAATTTACATTATGCTCTTGTGAAGAAGCTCCGACATTACCTGTTAATAACCAAGGCGGCACTTGGGCTTGTATAGATTTTTTTACTTTGCTCATGAACTAACTAACACTGCAGCCTGCTGCTGAGGAATCATGTGAGGTGGAGATTTGGTGTGCCAAAGGCTGTTGTGTGTGAATAGAAATCCTGGTCAGGGAAGGTCAGTTTCTCTACTCAAGCAAGAACAATGTTGTTTCCCTTCTAATCAGACACACACAGTGTGGGAAGAATCCAAGAGCCCCACGTAAGCGACGTGCAGCCATAGCCCAGGCAGCTCCTTCTGAAAGAAATGAATAATCTTTAATAAAGGTTCCGGTGACCCTGGCTCCTTTCTGTCCTCTAATCAGTTGCTTTAATGGTATGCCTTCAGTGCTTCATAGGGGAAATGCTATAAAGTTAAGTTATCTTCCTTCTCTTGCTTCAAGGAGTGCTGAATTGGTCCAATCAGTCCTTCCCCCACATTGTGCTTGATTCTGCTATAAACACCACCGAAGTCAGCCTCAGTTTTGTTGAAATGCCAACATTCCCGTTCTCTCTCAGGGTGATCTGTGCCCCTGGCAGCAGTGGACTTGGAACAGCAGGAGTCACCATCTTTATTGTTAGGCTGTGGAGTTTGTTTCAGGCACATTCTAAATCCAGTCTTATGCCTTTCGCTTTTTTTTTTTTTGTCTGTGACAAAGGTGACCCAACTGTGCTTCTTTGATATTATGAACACAGCTCTTTTTGTTCGTATCACAGAGGCATATAACAAAATACAAAGGATAAAATTGTGCCTGTGTGTAGTTAGGACATATATTTCACGACTCAATGACATAATCAAAAAGGTGTTGTCCTCTCACAGTCGTGAGCTAATAGGCAGAGACCACCTCTCAGGATATTTTTCATACTGCTGAGATACTGTTGAAAAATAATAGAACTAATGAAAATGTCACATTGACAGAGTAGCCCATATTAAGGTTTTGCTTGAAGAAGGCATGATTCGGTGAATGTGACATTGGTGGCAATGGTATTAGGGTTTACAGAGTTAATAAAAGAAGAATATTATAGAGTTGGAATTAGAGTATATCGTTTTTCATTTTACTTTTTATTTCTAGAATTAAGTGGACTCTGGTGTTCAGAATTTCCGCCTTAATGTCTCCTTTCTGCCTAGGAGAGGTATGTGGGGCTTTTTCTTTATATCAGACACTAATATAATTTTACAATGCGAAGAAATAAGTTAATTTAACTATGTGACAAAATGCATGTGCCTTACAGCGTTTGAAAAATATGCAGGTAGTAAAATTACATATTGCTTATGCATTTCTCAGTAAACAAGTATGCGATGTTTAAGTGATTAAATACATGTAAAAAAGTCAAAATGGAGACAAACAGTGAAAAAGAGAATTTGTTTCAAATAGAACGGTTGTAGCATCACTGAAGACTTCCCTTAGCTCTCTGGGCTGGATGAACAAATATCCAGCCAATCTGGAATGAATAGAAACTGTTTACCATGGCAGACTTTATTTGTCTTGGGCCCAATGAATACCACGTGCTGTGATTTGTCATGTTGGAAATACTGAAGCAGATTTCCATTGTGAATGTGAATTTTTCTTTTTAAAGGCTTAACACCTCAGTCTCATCTCAGCTAGGTAAAAGCAATAAGTTTTCTTTTCCTTGCCAGCCAGACCTCAATAAATCTTAAATCCCTCCCCCCAAAGCATGTAGCTGCAGTTTACTGTTCTGGTTGTAATCCTACATCATGGCCATAGATGGCCTGATCCTTCTCATTTCCAAGGGCTGTCTTTCTGCCTTTACTCTAACAAAACTTCTAATTTTCTTTCTCCTCCAGATAGTAGAGCTTCCATAACTCCATACCATAGAAAGGTATGCTACTGTTGGCACAGGGCCTTCCCAAAACCGACAACGCAGAAACTTCTACCTAGCATAAACACAGCTAACATTCTGCCTTCCTTCCTCATTTGTATCCTGTGTAGACAGAGCCATATTTCACAGCTGTTGTCTACAACCACGTTCACCCATTGGAGCTGTTGAGTCTGCTGAATTTATGGAGCATGGGTATACCAGGGCTTAACACTGAATTGAGAGAAGCACCGCATATTGTGAAATGGTTTAGGTCCACTTTCCGCCTTGGAATAGTGCTGGGTAGCAGATCCTTGCAAAATTCGCATCACATCCCTTTTTTTCTTTCTTTCTTTTTTTTTTTTTTTTAGTTTCAGGTGTACAGAACAATGCAAAAGTTATCCTTTTCACCCCTCACAAAGTCAGTCACTTCCCTTTTTTATGCCTTATCATGACTGTTTAGTTAGCTGGGAGATCCAGTAAGGGCTTAAGAGTTAAGGAAAGATTATTGTTTTCATGTATTAGAATCTGATCTTTTTGTCCTATGGTCTTTATTCTAGTTTGATATGGGTTGGTGTTTTTCTCTAAAGTAATATCGTTCTGCCTGAAATTAAGTTTAAGGCTGATCTTACACTGAGAAGCCTGGTTACCAGGATGGATTAGTATGCAATTAATACAGTTGTGCTGTGGAGCGGAGCAGGTAGAGATTCGAGGTGGTGGTGCAGGGCCTGGGACCAGCTGCAGCAGCCTGGCCCACATTTTCCTGGGTACCCCGAGCAGCACTGAACTTACCTTGAGTTAGGATATGGGATCTGCCCAGAGAGTGACGGCTATGCACACTGAGTGAGTGCCTGAGCCGGGTTAGAGGTGAGACTAAAGAGGAGGAGAAAGGCTCGCTTCGATAACGTTTAATATTTGAATAAATATCTGAACACCTACTATGTGCGCGGTTAATTGTAGATGCTTGGAGATACAGGGTGAACAAGTTCCTGCTCTTATGGAACTCACGTTGTAGTAGATGGGACATGTAGGTAAATAAATAATTTTAGGTAGTGAAGGATAAAAGAAAACTTCAGCAAGGTATGGGGAAGGAGAGTGGTGGGCTGACCAATATGGGTAACAGTCACTCGGGCTTCTCTAAGGAAGTGGCATGAGTCCAGGCCAAATGATGACAAGCTCCTGAGGGGCTTTTCATGCAGCGGCACAGCAAGTGCAGAGATCCTGGTGACGAAATGGTCTTTGGGTATTCAAGGAACAGGAAGAGAATCTTTGTGGCTATGACTTTTCAAGATAAGGAGGGGAGAGTGATAGATAAAGTTGAAGAGACAGAGTAAAGCGAAGTTATGAAAATCCCAGGGATGAAGTCATCTTGGGAACATTGGTAAATGATAAAGTCAACAGTGCATATGTTTTAACAGTGAAATGATCGTATTTGTCATTTTACAGACCAAGCTGGAGGCTCAGGAGAATAACTAGGAATAAATAAGGTATCTTATGTCTAAGTAGCAGGAGGAGGGAGCCTCAAAGCCTAGTGTTGGACCAACCACTATTATCAAACTGTTCTTATTGGAATATCTCCAGTAGAAACACTAGCACATGTGTGTGTGTGTGTTTTCAAACATGATAGCAATCTACTTTTAAAATACCTCTGAAGGAGCTGAGTAGATTTTGGTTCTGACAAGTTAACTCTACCTGATTCTCCCCATAGTTCCTCTCAGTGCAGTTCTGTTTCCCCATGTCTTGCAGCCAAAGCCCACAGATCTCAGAAGCGATAGCCTTAACTTCAGCTGGGGAGAGCAGCTAGATGTTGTTGAATGCTTGCTAATAAGATAAGCTATCTCTGTGGATAAAAACCATCTCAGGAAACCTCCACAATTTCTGGGATCATCAGAATGCTGGCAAAATCTGCAGGTGAAATTTAATTTTATATTCAAGTTAACAAACCCATGCAGTTTGCTTACAGAATCCAAGTGATTAAGCACACGGCTAATCCATAAACATGGATTTTTTTTCCCCCATTCTAAATTCGGTTTTGTGTGGAATACAGTGAATGTGGAGGCACCGTGGAAACTCGCCAAACATCTGGGCCTCTCTGACACTCCTGGACTCCAAGAAGCAATTCTAAAGTCTTCAAATTCCATCACAGGCTTGCAGCTTACTGTTCATAGTATAAAGAGCCAAGTCCAGGGCACATAAGTTTACTGTCTCTTTTTCTTTTGGCAGAATGAAGATGCTCTGGTTTCAAGGAAATAGTGTGCAACTTGCCAAATGCTCCTTTCGACTCTTCCTGAGAAATCTCTCTGCCTCTAAGACTGTTCTGCCTGTGCTGACCTTGTTCACAAAGGTACAGAGGGGAGAAATGAAATTACTGCTCTAGAAACATAGAGTATTAAAATTGTTGGGTGAGGAAAGTTGTACAATTAATACAGAAGAAAATTGTTGAAAGGGAAGCAAAGGAATAAACTTTCTTCAGACATGCTCCTCAATGTTTCAGTTCCAGTTATAACAGCGGTAACTGTTTCCTACCCAGATACCTCATTGGCTCACCCTTAGCGGAGACATGAATATGTTTAATAGTCCTGATTCCTACATTGAAAGAAAGAACTCAGATTACAATATGATGCTTACAAACTATCACTTAGAAACTTAGTCTTATTTGTTCTATAAAATAAAGTCACCAAAAACACTGAATTAGTGAATCCTGAATCATTACTCCTAGGGAAAATATAGGGTTAGGTTCCTATGAGCTTCTGGTAACAGCATTTTTGTCAATTGATCATTACATAACCTTGTTTTCTGTGTGTGTCCTTTGAAAGGCATCTTATTTAGTAGATACTGTTGACTCGTTAATATTGAACTCACCGCCAACGGCACTGTACCTCATGCCTGAACAAAGCTTATCTAACACAGTCTTTTCTCCATAAAGCTCTTCACAGCCTCCTTGTGTGTAGAAACACTAGACAGCACTTCAGCACTGTGCTCAGGGACCATGTTAAACAGCAAATGAACAATAAAAAGCACAAAAATGCAAAAAATGCGGCACTAAATAGATTGTAGTGAGCTGAATGAAGAAGGCAGATTCTTGTGTAACCTCAGCTGGGAACATGCACTTGTGAATGAACATAGGTGAATTCCTAACTACAGAGTCCACAAATAATGAGGGTTGGCTGTACTTTAAGAACTTTCCCCCCTGAAATTTATAATACAAGTATTACTGATTTCATTTTGCTAATTAACGTTACTTTGTGTGATTTATAATCAAAATAGAAATAAAATGCAAGGTAATAGAATTAACAGTAGTGAATAATACTGCAGTTCAAACAAAAACGGTCTTGTGTTTCATAGATTTTTCAGACTTCAGGTATTTTAGCAATTTGAAAATATCTGACGGTTGCCTGTACACCTGAAGCTGAAGCTGAATAATATTGTATGTCAACTATAATTTAATATATATATAGTCACGGGATATGGAGTACAGAATGGGGAATAGAGTCAATGGAATTGTAATAGATACATATGATGTCAGAGGGGCAATAGATTGGGGAAGGGGGGTTATCACTTTGTAAGGGGTATAAATGTCTATTACATAGTTTTGTACACATGAAACTAATAAAAAAAGTATCTGATGGTTATCTAATGACAAAGCTTAAGAAGTTTTTAAAAATTAATTTCTTGGTGAGAATAGTTCATCTAAACTACTTTTCATATCTGTAAGCACATGGTGAAAAGTTTGTGAACTTAATTGTCTGACCTTCGTACATGGCACTGCTGGAAATTATAGAACAAAACTATTTTACATATGAGAAATGCATGTGAGAATTAACCACAAAAATAAAATAATTTCTTAAGGCTGATGGTGCTCACCCAGCCTAAATATTTTGCACTACTTTTCAGTTTGAGCAACAGCCAAGTTAGCTAAAAACATTTGAAAAAAAAAAGAAAGAAAAGAAAACCACACAAGTCTTCCATTGAGCTGAAAATTTGTGCTGAACCCTTGATCTTTGTCATTAGCATATCATAAGATACCATTCTCACCTTCAGGAATTCACAATCCAGAGAAAGGAAAAGCATAATATCAGGTCTCTTTCAGTTATAAATAATAGAAAGTACCTCCCAGAGTAACTTAAACAAAAAAGAGATTTTTATAGGTTGGTCTGGTTTCAGGAGTAGCTTCATTCTGAAACTCAGCATGTGACCGGCCTCTTCAGCTCCGCATCCCCTGGGTTACATCTGTCTTGACTCTGCCTCTTCTCACGGGTGACTTGCAGGATCCGAAGCCCCAGATCTCACTTCTTGGATATCTACAGAAACTCCAGCAAGAGCCTCATGGCTATCTACTGGCTCTGATTGGCCGATCCCCAAACTATTCATAGCCAAAGGGATAGGGTGTGCCCTTTGCCTCAGCCCAAGTCAGATGTCCCACCCTGTTGTTCAGGATGGAGTCAGCCACATGCTGAGAGTAGTTCCTGTGAGGCAAAATTACAGCGTTCTTGCTACGAGAAAGGGGAGTGGGTGGTTGGCAACCAACCCAACAAATGTTCACTACTATTCAGAAGCTAGGATAAATAAGTGTTCTGTTAGTGCCATGGAAAATCCTAGACAAGGATGTGCGAATGGTCCAGACCACTGGGTCTTAGCCTTTTTCAGTTCATAGACCTCTTTAAAATTTGATGAACCTTCCCTCATAAACACATACACGATAATTTGCACAGACTTCAAGGAAACACCAGCTTTTAAAAACAAAACCAAAATAAAAAAAACCTGATCTAGGCTCTAGTAAAGATTTTTATTATAAAAGCAAAATTTTGGTACATTTGGTACTTCTGCAATGTAGCTTACTCTTATTTTGCTTTTGCTTTTAAGGTCCTCTGTTGACTTCTTTAACTTTCTCAGAAAATGCCAACATGATTACCTTAAAGCATCACAGACTATCCATAATCTATTTATTGATAATGCTAATAGTAATAAGGTGACCCTAATTCTCTGAACCAGAGAATTAGGGCCAAAAAGACCCTTCTGAAGGAAAATTGCCTTTTGGAAGTCTGGGTCCTTATTTCAAAACAAGCTCTGAGCTAAGTTGGAGAAAGGACCTTTCTTTTACATAACAGCTCACCTCTTCCTGTGATGTTAAAAAGCACATTTTATAGAAGCATCAATAATGTGGAGCCTAATTTGTGCTCATGCGCGAGAACCTATGGCTAGTCCTTGATCACAGCCAAGGGCTGAGAAGCCTTTAAAATCTGCCAATGCCCCCAAGTACTGTGGACATCCTTCTCCACTACGTGCTTAGATGCAAACAATAATAGGTGCTAAAACTTGCGTGTTCCTCAGGTGGAGAATTATCTAGGAAACTTATTGCCAACACTTGTAATGAGAAAACAGATTAAACATTAAAGAGTTGGTACAATCATTATCTGAAATAGAGGTTTTTCCCTTTTTAAAGATAAGGTATTCGCTGTCCAACTCCGTTCCAGTGGGTTTATTCCTGTGGATCGATTAGAAAAAACAGGCTGGCCAAGCTCAGTGCTTCCATTCAAAATGAACTTGAGGGCCAGCCGAGTGGCTTAGTTGGTTACGAGTTCGCTTAAGAGCGCGAGCTCTGAGCAACAGCACCGCCGGTTTGATTCCCACATGAGCCTGTGACACTGCGCCCAAGCTGAGCTGTTGCTGAGCTGCCAACAGGCGGCAGGATGGCTCAGCTGGTGTAACAACAAGATTGCCTGTTCCATGGTGGGCTACGCCCACCCGCAACTAAGACTGAACTTGGCACCTTGAGCTGAGCTGCCGCCCACATGGCTCAGTGGATTGAGCATTGTGCTGGCTCTTACGTTGAGCATAAGGCTGCTGGTTCGACTCCAGCATGGGATGGTGACTACGGCCACCCGCAACTAAGATTGAACACAGCACCTTGAGCTTAGAGGCCATGAGCTGCCAATGGGAAGCCAGATGGCGACTGGCGCCCTCCACAACGAAGATTAAAGAACGACAACTTGACTGGTTCCCTTCCCCAGTTCCCCAACACTGTTCCCCTCCCCCAATTCCCCAATAAAATCTTTAACAAAAAAACAAAAAAAAAAGAAGATAAGGTAGCAGAAAACTCTCAATCAGAACAGCAAACAGAAAAAATAATCCAAAAAACAAAAACGAACTTGAAGGGCCGGCCAAGTGGCTCGATGGTTAAGAACTGGCTTGGGACGCCAGAGAGGCCCGGTTCGGATCCCACATATGAGGGCCAGTGACACTGCCCTCCACAGCTAAGATGCTGAACAACAGCTCAACCTGGAGTTGGGCTGCCCTGAGTCGCCGGCGTCGGCGTAGGCTGCAGCCCCTGTGGCAGTGGGTTGCCATGGGCTACCGTGTGTAGCCAGCAGCCAAAGTGAGCGGACAGCAGCCGCAGTGAGGGCCGTCCAGAAGCCAGCGACTGATGTGCCTCGCCCGGGAAGAGCGCAATGATGGTGCCAACTTGGGCCAGTGAAGCAACGTCCCCCACAACTAGACTGAAGAGCAAAACGACAGCAACTTGTCTGTTCCCATCCCCCCAATTCCCCAATAAAAATCTTTAAAAAAAAAACAAAAACGAACTTGAAGCCAATCTGGTGATGTCAGCTCGGCCAGGAAGGTGCTGCTCACCTTGGGAGGACCAAGCCCTAGATATCAATTAGATGAAGCCAATAACAAAAAATGTTAGCATCTAAATGTGTTGTGTATGTATGTACTATATATATCTATAACATCTAATGATTTTAGATGCTTACCTTTGTTACACACATATATACTTGTGTATATATACCGGGGCTGCCAAAAAAAATGTATACAAGTAGACACTTTGGTCAACTTGCTTAAGCAGTAGTTCTCTGTAATCAGAAGTGTCTAGACGCTGATGGTAACCACTTTGAGCACCTCTTGTAGTTGCAGAAGTGAAACATGACTTGTATTCATCTTTTGTTATCAGTATATATTTGAGCATGACAATTTTAAGTTTTTTCCTTTCTTAAAATGTCTATACATTTTTTTGGCACCTTCTGTATATGTGTGTGGAGATATGTATGTATAACAAAGGTAAGCATCTGAATTTATCAAATAGATATATAGATTTATTTACGGAGAAAAATAAAAATAAAACAACTAAAAAGTGCTGAGAGCCCATTTACCATGAAATACCAGCTATTTATAAGATTCTATGGCAGTATTTTGCTTTGGAAATAAAACGGTGCAATTAACCTGGTAGAAAACAGTCCCTGGAAATGGGCATCATCTGCTCCTTGTGGTTGTTGTCAGGCTGAATGCCATTCTTTGAGCTTAATGCCTTTCTCTTTATTCTTCCTGCAGGACCCATGTCCGCTTTGTGACGAAGCTAAGGAAGTACTGGAGCCTTATAAAAACAGGGTAATATAGTACCGTGTGGCTTTGTGTGTATGGAGTGGAGAGTGTGTGTGAGATAAGGTATCTGCCCGGATCCTTTCTTTAGGAAAAGAGATTAAATGATTTTTCATTTAAATTTTTTTTCTACTCTTCAGAGAGAGATTTTAGTGCTGATTTCCATAAAACTCATTACCTCTAAGTGTTTTTCTCTGAGCAGTACTGGTTTCCTTACTCTGACTCTTAATATGAGTCAAAGTTAACTAGCAGGTTCGATATTCATGCTTTCTTTAAACTTTTGTCCCTATTCCTTTTCTCTTATTTTGTCATTTCCATGGAAGTGTTCTCCTGTAGCAAACCATGTCGCCTTTCACATTTTTAAAACCAAAACACGTCTTTCCTGATTCTCAAGCAGCTTCCCAGTTGGGACTTACTTTATTTCATTGGGAGCTGAGTAGTGCCTGGGTGGGTGAATGTAAAGGGTATAACAGAAATGCAGCAAAATCGAGAATTAGGGAATATAATGAAATCAATCAGATTGTGGCAACTGGGGACATTAGATCACTGTGTACCTCACACAAACAAACAACAACAAAAGCCTCTCAGCATTAGAACCAGCGTGGGGATCAGTGTGTCACTGCAATCACTGCATTGTTCTGTGTTCCCTAAAATACAGGGCTTTAGTCAGTCTCTATTTCAGTTTATTTTACAGGAGGTGGACATCACACTTCCGGAAAACTCTGCTTGGTATGAAAGATATAAATTTGACATCCCCGTCTTTCATTTGAATGGCCAGTTTCTGATGATGCATCGAGTAAACATCTCAAAGCTTGAAAAACAGCTCCAGAAACTTGAGCAGCACGGTGCTGGATGCTGATAAACACCCCCGCGATTTTCCACCCTCGCTGTCCAAAAGGCATCTTCCTGAGGAAATGACCATGGCCCCATGCTCCTTTTGTCACTTGCACACAACCCTAACGATGTTCTGAACTCAGTGGTGCCGTAAATGTTGACATTCCCTTTCTGGTGGATGGAAGTACCAGCGTGGGAACTGCTTACCTGTTGGCATTTTGTAAAATAAGAGGGGTGTGTGTATTGGCAGGGAGGGGTGATGGAGGGCAGGAGAAATCCATTTGTTTTATTTATTTTTCTTCTTTGTATTGATATAGAAACATCTCACATTCATTGGGCAGTGCTGTTTGTAGGAAGAAGGCTGAGTCCTGCTGCTGCCCTAGGGGCTTCATTTTTTAATGAAGGAATAAATGCTCTTCCACTCAAAAGATAAAGTGAAATGTGAATTGTTAATAACTGTGTACGGTCAATAAAGGGATGTTTTACAAATACATCTGCATGCAGCCTATTTCAGTGGAATTTAATAATACCTGTTTAAAATTAGAGCTCATTTGGGGGGGAGGGGTAAAAGAGTAATTATCCCAGCTTAAGAGGCATCATTTGAGAAAACAAAACAAAACACTTAAACCTCCAAAATGTATATGAGTCTCAACATGCTTTGCACGTAGTCAGTGAATTGACTCGTAATATTAGAGTACTGCCTGTGATAGTTTTTCAGTTATCATCGAGTTAATTAAGCTTATTATAAAACAGTAGTTTTATCAGGTTTTAATATCTTGGGGAAAGTCACTTCTGGCCCCAAATGGACAGACATGTCATCTAAAAACAAAATATTCTTCATCATTTTATATAAAGTATTAAACATGTAGTTGTGTACTCTTATTTATATTTAGTTGAGTTTGGTCAATACAGGAATGGGTTCACTTAAAAACAAAACTGCCTTTCCCTCACATCATTGTAATTTCATCTGTAATGAAATTCTTTTGTGAGCTGTTTTAATGAATTTGGATATTATGAGTCCCTTGGCTAGATTTAAATTTAATCAGTATGAATTAGTCTTAGAAATTATAGAATATTAGAGCTGGTCAGCCTTAGACATTGTCTTGTCCCACCCCCCTCATTTTATACATGATGAGGAATCTGACATTTCAGAGAGTTTCAGGGACTCAGCCTGAGGTCACAGTCGGTGGGCTGTCAGACCAGGTCTTGCCACCCACCCCAAATCTCCAGTGCTACCTGGGCTCACCTCAGGGGTACCATGTAACCATTCTGGATCAAACACAAATCAGGAAGCAACTTTAAAAGCCTTCCAAGATAACAGGGAAAAAATCTTACAATTGAACAGCAGTGTTTATAACTTACACCTTTCTAGAAGACATCTCCTTTGATTTTATAAATACTTATTGGGCCCTGTGGTGGGCAAGACTCCAGCATGACCCCGATGAACACTCATCCTGTATCCCTTCTCTGTGAGTGTGGGCAGAGCTCAAGAATATGATGAAATGTCACTGCTGTGGTTATGTTACATTGTGTGGCAAAAGGAAGATTATCCTGGTGGGGCCTGATTTAATCAGGTGAGCCGTTTAAAGGCAGAGAGTCTCTATGGCTGGTGACAGACGAGGGAATCAGAAACGTGTCCACTTAGCCTAGAAGGAAGTCAACCTCAGTGCTGTGAACTGCCCTGGGCCCGACGGCAAGAACCTCTGGGAGCTGAGAGCAGTTCTTGGCCATTGGCTATCAGGAAAATGAGCACATCAGTCCTACAGCTTCAAGGACATTGGTTCTGTCAATACCGTTGAGCCTAGAAGAGGTCCCTAAGTCCCAGGTGAGACCCACAGCCCTGGCTAAGACCTGGATTTCAACTCAGTGATTCTGATCAGAGAATCTAGCCACACCTGCCTAGACTGTGAAATAATCAATGCATTCGAGCTGCCATGTTTGTGGTAATTTGTTACACAGCCATAGAAGTCCCTACAGCATCGAAGCACAGTTCTAGGTGGAAGGGGGAGGGGGTACAAAAAAATATATAAGGCACTGTCCTTGTCTGAGACACACAATGGGAGCAGCAAGGGAGAGGCAAGTTAATAAAGCACTACAACCCAGTGCCACGAGAGATGGACTGAGACGTGTACAAAGTGGTACAGCGGCCACATGGGGAAAGTGGCAGGAAGGCTTCACAGGAAATCAGACTTAAACTCGGTCTTGACAGTTGGATAGAAGCACTGGGAAGGAGGGTTGACAGTGAGGAGGGTAGCCCATCCTGAAGGAATAGGATGTGAAAAAGAAGAATGGGAAGGCGTGGCATATGTAGAAAATGGCGGGCGGTTGGTGTGGCTGTGGTGAAGGGAGGGGAGTGAACGAGGTGAGACCACAAGATGGACTGGGGTTCACACTGGGAAGCACCTGAAGTCATGTGCAATTTTTCTCCCTGTCGCGGTGTCCTGCCCCGCTTCCTGCTCTCACCCAGAGGCAGCCCTTCTGGCTCCTGACTCCTCAGGCATATTGGCCTCTCTACTGCAGCCCTTCTAGGTCCTTCCAGTCCTCCGGCATGCTAAGCTCAGCAGCCCCTCCAGGACACCTGCAGGACATTCTCATCTTCAGTATGGCGGGGACAGAGGACCATAGACAAGATGTGTGTGTGGGCACCCGTGTTCCTTCCTCTCTGCTCCAGGCAGCATGAGAGCTGTAAGACCCATGTCCTGAGGTTGTTGGTTCATCTCCCAGGCCACCGGGTAGAAGAGTTCCAAGAGTTCCAGGGTCTGCTGAGCTAAGAGGGAAAGAACCCACTGGTTCCCTTCAGATGCAGGGCTGGCCTGAGACCCTGGATGTCTGTTCTGGACCACTTCTTGCCTGAGACTAACCACAGTCTATAGGAAGTACTGGACGTCATCCGAGCAACAAATTTCTGACTTTAGAATTTCAAACAAGTAAACAAAAACCCATTGTACTTACAGGGTGTTAAAGTGTTGGCTGAGGCACCAAGAAACAATAGGCGTTACATCCCAAAGGAAATACTAGATCACAGAAGGATTGTTGGAGGTTGGAGGGAGGCTATTGGATGATTTTTTTTTTTTTAAGAAAGGTGTGTCTCACTTCCCACAGAAGTAAAAGGCTGGGGTCACCTAATGTCATCTGGGTAGGAAGAACACAGTGGCCCAGCTCCCTCCTTGGAAATCATGGGAAAGATGAGCCAAGTAGCCACTTGTGGTGCAGAGTGAAGGGAGCTGCTGCTGCTCCGAGTGTGTCTAGCTCAGGGGTCGGCAAACTTTTGAGACGGAAGAGCCGCCAGGGGTCAGCAAACTGCGGCTCGCAAGCTGCAGGCTCTGAAGTAAAATTGAAAATGAAAACTATCATAGTTTCATTTATAAAAATTTTAAATGATATTATTCACATAATGGTGATAATGTAAAAATATATTTATGGCTCTTGAATAATTTTCCAGTGGTTGTGAGGGACAGGATTGGCTCTCCCAGGGGTTAGCAAACTTTTGAGACGGACCGTACCCAAAGAGCTGCATGTGGCTCGCGAGCCACAGTTTGCCAACCCCTGGTCTAAGGGAAGAATGTGTGTGTGTGTGTCTTTCTTCATGGATCAGATCTGGGTCAATCACGAGCGAGGGCTGCCTGGGGTAGCCTGGGGTGCAGGCCCGCATTAGAAGAGGGGAAGCAGAGGGAGAGCACCAGGTTCCTGGAGGCTAAGGAAGTAAATGGCTGCTCAGATGGAAAGTACATTTGCCTGAATCCAGGGAACTGCAGGTGAGACAACACCAGCTCTGGGTCAGTCTCCCAAGAACCCACAAAGCCTCTGTGAAATGTGGTCTGCTTTGTGTTTACCAGGCCCGGAAAGCTGGACGCTATCTTACAACTTCACCAGACATCACTTCTGCCCCTTCCCACTTCTGCCTCCCCTCATCCCAACCTGAGAAGGGTGAGAAACTGCCAGGAGCAAGGAGCAGAATGATCTTCTACTTCCACAGCTTCCCACCTGCACAAGGCCTCGCACTGGGGTAAGAGTAAGGCTTAATTTTATTTTATTTTATTTTATTTATTTTTTTAAAGATTTTATTGGGGAATTGGGGGAGGGGAACAGTATTGGGGAATTGGGGAAGGGAACCAACCAAGTTGTTTTTCTTCAATCTTCGTTGTAGAGAGCGCCAGTCGCCATCTGGCTTCCCATTGGCAGCTTGTGGTCTCTAAGCTCAAGGTGCCATATTCAATCTTAGTTGTGGGTGGGCGTAGCCACCATCCCATGCTGGAGTCAAACCAGCAACCTTGTTGTTAAGAGCGCACACTCTATCCATTGAGCCATCCGGGTGGCAGCTCAGCTCAAGGTGCCAAGTTCAGTTTTAGTTGTGGGTGGGCATAGCCCACCTTCAAGCAGGCATCTTGTTACAACAGCTGAGCCATCCTGCCACCTGTTGGCAGCTCAGCGACAGCTCAGCTTGGGCGCAGCGTCACTGGCCCATGTGGGAATCGAACCGGCAGCCCTGCTGCTCATAGCTCACGCTTTTAAGCCAACTCTTAACCAACTGAGCCACTCGGCCAGGCCAGAGTAAGGCTTAATTTTAAACTGAGTTCTCAGTTTTTACTATGACACAGGAAGAGACTCAATAGCACAATCTGAAGTGACCATGGGACCTTCTGTTGCTTGAGAATGCTCAAAAGAACTCTGACAATACCTGGTTTTCATTTTATCCTACACAGAGTAAGAAATTCCCCCACTGAATACATTTTATAGCGATAGTGGGAGACATAATGATGCTTTCTGATTATATTCCACATTCAAAGTATTAATTACATGTGCCTCATGTTGTTTCTTACCTATAAATCTTTAATAGATTTTCTTATTAATTCTTACTTAAGAGAGTGATGTGGTCATGTGACTAAGAATCCTGGAGACCTGCAGCAATTCCTCAGGTCCCAGTAGCTGGCAAATCGAAAGGCAGCTATCTAGAAACAGCAGCTACAGGGTGGTGTTGAGTACCCCCACTGCAGATAAGCATCATACAATGTTATATCTCTATTATAGTCATTTTCACATGATATTTATGGCAGCAATTACTTCTTTCTGAAATTATGTTTGTAGAGATCAATTTGGGTTGTTTTTGGTTTTTTTTATTATTATTAGTTTCAGGTGTACAGAACAATGCAATAGTTATCCTTTTCATCCTTCACACAGAAACAATCCCCCTCCCCCATCCACTGCCCTCCCAGCCCTGATGTCATACTTATCTATTACAATTCCATTGAGTTCATTCCCACACTCTACTCCACATCCCGTGACTATATGTATATATAATTGTGGTTGACATACAATATTATTCAACATCAGCTTCAGAAATACAGTGCGGTGGTCAGGTCTCTACACTGTCTGTGCAGTGGTCTCCTTAAGAGAGCAATTTGTTTTTATGTAAAAACTGGTTTTGGGCTGGCTGAGTGGCTCAGTTGGTTAAGAGTGCGAGCTGTGAGCAACAGGGCCGCTGTTTCGATTCCC